TGTTTTTAATCAGTGATTAGTTGGCAACAGATAAACAACACATAAGTATATCCTATACAAAAGTCAATAAAAATGTCTGTTTAGAATAAAAATTGTCTGTCAAAATGCCTCTTCAAACAATAAATAATAAAAATATTAAAACAAGAAGATAAAATAATTACAATGTACCACGTAATTTGTCTGTTTATCAACGTAAACACACGTATTTAATTATATAAAAACACATAACCAAACTTAATATACAAAATGAGCATTACAGTGGAAGAACGAGCAGAACTTTTGAAACTAGAGGACATCCAAGTCGACGCACTATCAAGCTACTTCATAGACTTGGACGGTATACAAGAGCTATGCCAGGATCTAACAGAGCTTTATAAAAAAGAGCAAATCTCCACCTTGGGAGATAAAAAATATTTAAAAATTCTAGAAAAAGAGGCCTGGTTAGTAGAAGATATAGCTTTAACTGCTATAAACTTCTTAAAAACACACAAAAAAACACTGAAGGTAATAAAAGAATGTGCTTCAAATCATTCCAATGAAACAAAGCCTAAAAAATAATTAATTAACTTTTAATCTATTTTATGTTAAAAATTTAATAATCAACTCACTAATAATAATAAGAATCATGAGTACCAATAAAACAATAGAAGCGCCTATAGAATAACATATTCTATTTAATATCTTAGGCTGCTTTAATAAAGATTCCATAGAAATATGCTCAGTTGTATCACTCATAATAATATAAACAAATGAAATAACAAGTTAATCAATTATTTAATTCGTTATGTTTTAAGTAAAACTCAAAATAAGTATCATTAATTGTAAGTAAATCTTCACTCTTTTTATACACTTCTAATTCAACACTTCTTCCTCTTTGCAACACTCTACGATATTGTTCTTTTAAATTTCCACAATACAATAAGACAAATAAATCATGTTTATAATTCTTCATCAACATTGGATAAATAACACCGTTTAATAACATTTGTGCTATCCATTTCATTTCAACTTCAGCTGTATTAATTTTAATATACTTCACATTAATATTATTCAAACTGGGTATATTATACATTTCACATAATTCATCTATTTCCTTTCTAATATCTTTACGTTCCTCATCAGTAAGAGATTCATCATTTTCACAGAAAATACTCAAAGCTTCGCTCAAATGCCTCTCCCAAATAACAATTCTTGCATTTCTAAATTCATAACTCATAAATTGTTTTCTATAACATCGCAATACATACTTCTGAAATTGATAATTTTTTATTACACCATGATGCAAACTCTCTAAACGTTTTTCACCTTCTACATCGTAATCAATATATTCTCGAACAAAAAAAATATCATCCACATTAAAGAATACACTTGCAATATAATTAAGAATAGTAGTCTTGCCAACGGCTACTCCTCCACTTAAGAATACATGACGAGTAAAAGGACATAATTTGTAATCATTACTCGGTAAAGCAGAAGTACATCTAATAATTGAATCAACCATTTAATAAATCTAGATGAAATATTCACAAAATATTTAATTAAAAACGTATATACACGTAAGCAAAACAAAATTAAAATTAACCAATAATTAATTTAATTATCAACTTCTGGTTTCTTAGGCTTCTTTTCATCACTCTTCTTTGGTAAAGATCTCGTCATAGCACGTCGGGATTTCATTTCATCCAAAGCTTCATTACTAACTAAACGCTCAACTTCATTCTTTTCTTGTATTTCAGTCACATCTTCACTACATTTTTTTGATTGTTTTCTAACCCATTCAGGAATAGTCATGTTATTAATAGGAACTTTATTTCCTTTTCCACTGAATTTTCTATTCCATACATTAAAACTATTTAAACTTATTCCTTGTTCATCCAAATATTGAGAAAGTCTTTCACTCCTTTTTATAGACTCCAATTTATTTTTAATAATTTCACAACGCATCTCATCAGTCTCAACACGCGTATCAGAATTAAGTCTCCAATCTAAGTATTGTGGTTCCTTCATAAGATAAAAAACTCTCTTCATAAAGCTATTAACATTGGGATCCAATTGAGAGTCTTTGTATACATCAGCAATATCCATAGATTCAACTTCTTCATAAATGTCATCATGAACACGTCCACGAGCAGCCATATTAACGTTTTTATAAATATTATTTTTCAGTTTCCTTTAAATGGTCAACTCCACTCAAAACGTAATCAAAACATAAGCACCACGTAATGAAAAACCTCAAAGAACCATATTTAAACAATTCCAGATTAAAAAAAATAACAAAATGTCTTCAAACGATTCCAAGCTAGAACCTTCCAATTTAAATCGAATCTCATTACAACACATGCTCGACCATCAAAAACCTCTCCATTTTACCTCACGCTATGCCTATTTAACATTATGGGGAGACGAGGTACAAAACAAAATACAGTTCAAAGAAATTATTGATAGAATAGTAGGTCCAACAAACAATTTACAATACGCCCACATTTCTCCAGTGGAAAGGGATGAAATAAATCCCAATCCTCATCAACATTTATTAATTGTAATGAAAAGACCGAAATCATTTAATGCACGGCCATTATTCAACCACAAAGATGGAACTCAACAGAAATTTTGGTATTCTTGTGTGAATTCTTATACATCACGCACCGGTGATTTTTCCGCCATTATAAAGTATATAACAAAAAAAGGAGAAGGCTTACATGAAGGAAATGCTAATACCAAAGACGAACTTAAACAGACGTGGATAAATGCACTGAATGACATGGACTCATACCACGATTATAAAGAGCTAGAAAAGAATTTAATGGAAATAAATGCGGAAAAATATATACAACAAGAGGGCAAAATAAAATCTAGATGGATGAGAAAGAATTCACGCCGAATAGACATGGAAAATTATACTAAAGAAAATCTCCTTCCTTGGAAAGAAGAGCTAGAAGAAGTTAAAAATATAAGAAAATGGATTAAATGTGCTAGTGGGAATAAATTTAGAATGGGAAATTTGTTTATAGTCGGTCCCACTAAAACAGGCAAAACAGAATTTGCCATCCAAGAAATTTTCATGAAGTATAATACCTTTATGCTTAGGGGAGATTCTTTATTTGACACCTACGACGACGAACAGCAATACAAATTCATAATATTCGACGATATAAATTACGACAAAAATCTTCTCCGTTTAATAAAAGCTTTAACTTCAGCAATAAATAAAAAGACCATGGTTAACGTTAAATACTCAAAAGCAGTAGTAACCGCACGTCCCTGTGTTCATTTATTAAATTATAAAGAATACGAAGCGGTTTTAAATTTAATGAAATTTAATGGTGGTTATAGTTGGTGGAGAAGAAATTCGATGACTATATTTTTAGACCAGAAAATTTACAAAGATCCAAATGAATCTCAAAATGAAATAGAAGATATGTCACAAGAAGAGAAAGAATATGATCCACAGAAAGAATTAGACAATAAATATGAAGAAGTAAAAGATTTACCCGAAGAAGACGATACTTCGATGAATGAAATTCCTTCAGAACACGTCAAATTCCAAACACGAATGACAAATTTCCTAGAAGAATTGGGCTACGACGAAGAGTTTTTAGAAAATTTGAATGAAAAAATAAGAGAGGCAAAGAAAAAAGATAGAACATTAAAAAGAAGACTAGATGAATACCAAGATGATAATTCAAGTATGTTAGAAGAGTGGAACGGAGATATAGAAGAATATCAATCAGATAATCCACTCGGCCTAACAAGACAAGAGTATAAAAAATTCGAAGAAGATACAATGAGCAAATTCGAAAGAGATCGAAAAGCTTATTTTGACGAAAGAGCCATCGAAGAAGAAAATTCAGACGATTATGACGATTATGATGAATACGGAGATGAAGAAATGAACAATCCAATGGAACAACAACCACTCGGAGGAAACGGAAATGATCCAGACATAATTTATGATTAAGAAAGAATAAATTAATTTACTTCTTTTTAGTTGCAACCATCGGAACTTTTATTATTCTTTTAGATTTCGCAGAAGTGTCTTTCTTCAATACGTCTTCCCATGCACGTTTATTAATACGTTCCATATTACGTTTCAGTATTAAATTGTTCCTCTTGGACGCATTTACACGCTTTTCATATCGACTGAGTTCATCCGACTCAATCATATTATACACTCCTCTTGGAATAGATTCCGTGATATGACCGTTAACATCAATAACTTCCCTCTCATTTTCAGGATTATCATAATATTTTTTCACTCGTTCATTTATTGCTGCTCTCGCTTCTTTATACCACTTTTCATAATCATATTCGTTATATCCCGCACGCATTAAATCATTTGTTTTTTGTCTATAATCAGAAGCAACAGGAGTAACATTATATTTAGGTTCGATTTCATGTCTACCCATTAATTCATATCCATGTTTTACCTCTTTCGCTGTAACCACTCCGTGACCACGATTTTCCAAACCAGAATTTGAATCAGAAGAAATACCATCTCCTGTAATTCTTTTTCTTGGTTGTATTATACTTTCAGAAACATAAGAATTAGTATCACCACGTACAACAAAATTCTGAGCATATTCAACAAATTCATTAAGATTTATACCATTTCGTTCAGCCAATTTAGTTGCAATAATCTTAGCACCAGCCATTCTATTACTATTCCAAGAAGCCCGCAATTTAGTAAAATCACGAGAAGCAACATCCAATTTATATCGAATTTCATCAATATTCGAATTGTCATCTTTAATACCACTCAAAACCATCATCATACTTTCATGAAAATTTTGCATATCATTAACAGGAACAACATACTCAGCATTAAAGGATTGAGCAATATTTTCAAATTGGTTCATAATTGTATAACAGTA